TAAAGAGCTGAACGATATCGATGTAAAGGGTTAGGGCTGCGAATATGTACTCTTCCTGCGAGATCTGTATGCTATGAGTGCCGCCGATCAACATCTGGGTGTCCACCACCAGGTACTGCATGTGTGCATCACATCAATAGCATAGGTATGTGTGTTACCCAACCGGTGGTCATATAAAGCCAAACAACACAAACACCACAATTGGTTGGGGAATAAAATGTAAAATTCAATCAATTAAATGATACAAATCATACCTTAACTAAGTTACTAAATACTAAATTAAAACTATAATATAATTATAATTTATAAATAGGACCAAGACACCACAAGATTAAATGCAATCATAATTAAACAATTATGCTACAAATAGTATTATACGATACTATGGAAAGGCATTCATGAAAGGTATGGGGAAAGAGATATACCATTTATGAAAACACTTAAAAATAGCATAATTTAAATAATAATCAATCGTAATATTATTAACAATACAAACCACTGGCCGTATGGGTGACGGCCAGCGGTGATAGCCTATGGATAAAATACTAACCGCTGAGAAAAGTAGGGCTCCGAGCGCTGAGTAGACGAGTTGGGCGACTGACGAGCGCCAGAACATCAACACAAAGCCGAATAGCATTAGGATAATAACGCCGACGAATAATAGGCCGTTGAATACTGTGAAATCGATTTTGGTCTGAAAGGCGAAGACCGTCAGCGCCAGACACACGACGGCAGTGATGGCCACCGCAGACAATACGATCTCATACTTGTATAGCGACGAGATTATGCCCAATAGGAACGACTCGGCGATCGTGAATATCATGAGCGCTATGTAGTTGTGCGGCGTTTGCCGACGCATTTCCCCACAACAGGCCAACACCAACATCGTGGCCATCGCCACACCACTGGACCCAACACACAGTCATTAGTATACACATTAAGGTATTGCAACAGTCTATTTAACCCACACTATAGTGTACAACAACCCTCATAAGTGCCACACACTTTGCGCTATATTTACAGAATATTCTGTATATGTTGTAAATTGTGGGCACAGAATATTCTTACCAATTAAATGTGTAAAAACTAATTATACTGTTTGGCACATAATTCAGTTGTACACTATAGCGAGTGTTCACTGCAATTGATAATTGGTTGTAATGTACGTACAATGCGAGCCAAAGAACCCAGATATTCTCTTGCGACCATTTTCTCATACCATCCCTGTATATTCATTAAGTAAAATGTATTAATAATAAATCATGGTAAAATTTAAATAGATTTATGTGATTTACATTAAATATGAGTGACATTATTAAGAAATTATTGTTATTATAAACTAAACATAATAATCATGGATTGTCTCAACCACATCAACTGTGAACTAGCATTAATGTAAAATAAATACACTAACGAAACAATTATAATACATGTATTTTATGGGCCATACAATGTATGTGTACTGTCAGTGTAGTTGTGTATAGTGTATAAAAATTGAAAATCAATAATGAATGTGGATTTTTAGTGTAATTCGTGTTGTTTTTGAATGAATAATCTAAAAAATATTTGTTTTATTTTAACAGTACAATGCATGGTTCATGTATTTGTTGCCAATTGTACCCCCATATTAAATGTACAATAAATGTAGCCATTATTAACCAATAGACTAGTTGTTCACTATAAAGGAGTTCATAACAGAGATACTAACGGTATGGCGAAGACACAGATGAAACCAAACGACACCAACAATTGCACGGATAGTATGCCATAGACTTTGCGTATGAATGCTGTTATAATTAAAATAAAAATTAATTAATTAAAACAATTAATATTAACGTATGGTATATGTATGTGTGCACACAATTAACCCACAAGTGTTACCCGGCTTACATAATCAAACCCATTGTACAGTATAGCTCATTAACGGGGTATAAAAGGTGGTAATGAAGGGGGTGTCAGTTACTGGAAGGTCAGTATTATGGGTCAATAGAGATGGTGTTTAACACTGGTCACCAAATTGAAGTAATTGACCAAGGTCATTTACAAATATGGAAAGTTATAAATATCTAGCGATAAGGTAATTGTGATGACACAATCATTCGCGTACTAACCCAGACGTATGGCTTTAGTGCCGAAACTGGAGCCAAAGCCCTCGCCCTCGTATGTGTCGGCGCCGTACTGTCCGTTCTCTGCCGCTGAATACATGTGTCAACACTACTGCTTTGATCGTGTGTTTAATTACTGGTAACTATTATTAACTAATAATATCTAGTGTTTAGCAAATCAATCGTAAACACAACAAATGTCTGACTCAACCACTCTATGAAAACTGATATTTACTGTTCGCTCACTCTATGCGACGATCTCTGCAAACACTGCGCAACACATCACTGCCTATCCATATGTGTAACCATAGTGTGAGCGGCCATTGGATGGCATATGACGTTAGGATTAGGTGGTGAGGGGTTTGATAAATAGGTAAAGTGTAGTGAGTATACTGTATGTACAATAACTGCTATAATTTTGTGATCGCTGCCAACAATGACTGCCTATTGTATGGTTCGGCTCAATGTCTAACACATGTCTGCGAGTGATTTAATACACATTGCATAATGACTATGTAATGCACAGGTAAACAGGTTTACAGTGATTTTTGTGGACTAAATTCTTGCAGACCTATAGGGATGGAGGTAATTTGAATACCATGTCTCATGTATTGCATCATGCTCCATAGATTTATAATTAATTTTAACCACAATTCAGATATGAATAATGTGTTTATAATACTGTATAAACTTTATATAATATAATCGTTTGACTACCCCCTCCGGCCCCCTACCCAATGGCACTTAACATGAGAGCTTGATCATAATTTTTACAAGTCAAATTAAAGCATTATTTAGTTTATGCATAATACCACTAACAATGAGTTTGATTTATATTTGAATGTCTTGTTTATCAATTAGTGAAAACTTTTTTCATCGTATTCATTACAGTATAAATACCAAGATATCAGATTAATTAAGTTTTATGCCGTTATACAGTATAACTTATACTGTATTACATGTACTAATAATTGTCTGTGAAATATGCAACAAATTCCGGTTACCTTTTTATCGCTGATCAAACCCGACGACACCATTAGACCACATAATCGCTTCAACTCCGCCCCATCTCTCTCTCTCTCTCTCTCTCTCTCTTTCTCTCTCTCTCTCCATTTCTTTATTTATATGTAATAACAATTAATTTATAATTATATCCGATTTGTATAAAATTTTAATAATAAAAGGTAACCGGAATTTGTTGCATATTTCACAGACAATTATTAGTACATGTAATACAGTATAAGTTATACTGTATAACGGCATAAAACTTAATTAATCTGATATCTTATCAAGCTATTTTTTGTGTAACACATTATCGTATAAATAGTGAACAGATTCATACTTTTTAACACATTATTACATAGTATTATGAATTCATAACTTCTGACATTCAATGAAAAATTAAAAACAAGTAATTATAATAAAATGGACGAAAAAACGGATACATTTGTGGCGATATTTAATGAATTTAAACAACTGTTAATTAATAATAGTTTCTATAGCGAGGAACAACTATCACAACTACTGGTAATTTACTGTTATTTATCATAATTAACTATTTTATAAACATTGCGTTTACTTAAAATCATATCACGCTGAATTAATGCAATTGTGTTGTATTTTAATGTGGGTAACCATAATAACCAGGATAACTGCCAAACGGACACTCGAGTAAAGACAGTGATAGCGGACATCGAGTCGAGAGATGGGGCGGAGTTGAAGCGATTATGTGGTCTAATGGTGTCGTCGGGTTTGATCAGCGATACGGCCATCGATTCTGGCGATACTGACAACAATCTTATGAGACTTTCCACGGCTTTTGACGAGTTATTAGTTAACATCAAATTGCTAGAGACGAAGACCGATGTACTGACCGTCAGGAAAGCCACTGCCATACAGAGCACCGAATATGGGAACGTATATCCCATGAGCAAAAAACCTCGGGGTTATTGCGTGATCATTGATAACGAGTTCTTCACGGGTGAACCGATCCAATGCACACATCCGCCGGACATATCCTGTGAATTGGTTCCGTTGTTACACATCCGGTTGCGGCGCAGGACCGGCACCACAGCCGATGCCAACCGACTGTCTTCTGTCTTCAAACAGCTATACTTTTGCGTCAAAACCTATAAGAATAAAACGGTTGAAGAAATGAAAGCACTTTTGGCGGACATCGCGGCCGACAGCGCACTCATAGGACACGACGCTCTGGCGGTTATAATCTTATCGCACGGCGCGACTGAAGGTATTTACGGCACGGATGGGGTCACTGTTGCCCTCAAGACAATCCTCGAGATGTTTAACAACGAGAACTGTCCACAACTTATCGATAAGCCTAAGATGTTCTTCTTGAGCGCCTGTAGGGGCGGTAAGTGTAACCATAATGATAAAATTTAATGTTTCATATAATTAATTTGTGCTTAATTTAGGCAAAACCGACCCTGGTACACGCAAAAGTTTGGGGCCCAATTTGGCTGCGATGGGCAAACCCTCTACTGCTCCCATAGTTAGCACTTGGAGTGATATGTTTGTGTACTATTCAACCATTGAGGGTAAATAATTAATTATATATGAACATAATAATTTATTACTAATTGAATTCTGACCATAGGTTATGTTTCCACGCGTAATATATTTAAGGGTTCGTGGTTTGGACAGGAGTTGGGGAACTGTTTGGCCGAATCGGCTCATAGGGAACATCTCAACGACTTAGTGACTATAGAAGTGGCCAAACGAGTAAGCGATAGGATTACCGATATCGATGGCCAGCCAATTAAACAAGCCATTGAGACACATATCAGAGGCAGTGTTAAAAAGGTTTATTTTAATCCGGGTCTTTGTGAAAATGATAATTGATAAATTATCATTTTAAATGATTGATTAAGATTATTTCTAACAATAATTAATCATATTAATTTAAGTCTTTAAGTGATTGAAACTAAAAAGGTATTACAAAATTTATGGCTATAAATACCTGATTTCAAGTTTTGATATTTAAAATTATAATTAAATTAATTAAAAGATAATAAATAGTATTTGATTTTTTTTACTAATTTAAATATAAATATAATAAATTAACTTAAAATTTATTTTATGTATTGTTTTATTTGAATTAATTTCTAAATTTAAATAAATAATTAGTAAAATGTAAGTTTTCAGTACAGTATTGTTTAAATTTTAATTGTAATTTTTAATTGTATAAACAATTATATAAATTAGTGTTCACAGTTATCTGTTAAAACATATAAAACCATATAAAACACACTAAATTTACAAATAATACAACTTGGTTTTATTAATAAAACCACATAAAGCCAGATTTTGGGAGTTATAAATGTATATAATGTGACAAAATATCCCCTATTTTTGTGAGTGTTTTTAAAATTATTTGTACGTTTAATTGTTTTCGGTAAATAAAATGCCAAAAAGAAAAAAACTTCAAATAAATGGATTAAATTATATCCAGATTTGAGGGTTAAAGAGAATACAATCACAAAATCTGCTATTATTAAACCATATAAAACCATATTTTTCAAAGATTATTGATGAACCACCATATAACACCAGTTTATTCTTAGAAATAATAAAACCATATAAAACACACTAAATTTACAAAAATAATAAAACCATATTTCCGTGAACACTAATATCAATAAACAAAATAAACAATTATACAATTGTATAAACAATTAAATTAAAATTACAAATACTTTTTATAGATAACTTTTTAACATATATTTAAGTATAATTTTAAGTGTTTAACATATATTTTATTTATGCTTCAATTAAACATCGACTATATTTCAATTTGTTAAATAAACATTATGATACAAATAAAATCATAGTTTTAATTATCTTATTTATATATAGATAATAGTTCTTATTTAGAATTTTTAAATTGATATAAATATTATTTCTATTAGAACTTATCAGCCTTTTCTTGGGTAAGGGATTAAAGTATAAATAGTGCAATCATTCAGTAATTCACACGTTATTCCGTATTTATTTAACTTAAAGATTAAGTCAACAAAATGGGTGACAAAAGCGAGGCATTTGTTGACTTATTAAATGAATTTAAGGAATTGCTAATTAATAATCATTTCTATGACAAGAAACAACTGTCACAGCTACTGGTATTTTGCAGTTATTTATCATAATTAATAATTTTGTAACCATAGCTATCATATTTAAATTATCATGTAATTAAAATAATAACACAATTCTACTGTATATTAATGAAAATAATTATGACCAGGATAACTGTCAACCCGACACTCAATTAGTGAAATTAATAGACGACATCAAAGGGAGGGGTGCGACAGATGTGACCCGATTATGTCAACTACTGATTGAGTCGGGTTTGGTCAGCGATGTGGCCACCGATTCAAGCGCTGTTGACCTGAGCCAAGACGACGGGCCGTCGCGGTGTTTAGATACGCTCAAAATTCTGCTCTCTTGCGTGAGTTCAATGGACTTGAATGCGCTGACAGTGACCAAAGCCACTGCCATACAGAGCACCCAATACGGCAACGTGTATCCCATGGCACGCAAACCCCGGGGCTATTGTGTGATCATTGATAACGAGAAATTCAATATAGAAAGCTTAAAGCGTAGGCTCGGAACCAAAGCCGACGCCAACCGACTGTACTCTGTCTTCCATCAGCTCTTCTTTGACGTCAGACTCTATAGGAATAAAACGTCTGAAGAAATGGAAACACTTTTGGCGGACATCGCGGCCGACAAAGCACTGGAAGGACACAACGCTTTGGCGGTTATAATGCTATCTCACGGTTCAAAAGAAGGTATTTACGGCACGGATGGGTTTACTGTTGCCCTTAAGGATATTTTCGAGATGTTTAATAACGAGAAGTGTCCACAACTTATCGATAAGCCTAAGATGTTCTTCATTAACGCCTGCAGAGGCTGTAAGTTTGGACTATTATATGGTTTATATGTTTTTACTAAATAATGAATCATGATTAATTAATTTAGCCAAAATTGATCCTGGTATACGCAAGAGTTTAGGTGCGACTGCAGCACCCGTATTGACCACTTGGAGTGATATGTTTGTGTATTATTCTTCAATCCAGGGTAAATGAATTAATAATTATTATTTATTATGTCCAAATATACTATATTAAGAATTAAGTCTACGGCTAACAGAGTGAGTCAACTTGGTATGCATTTGAGCAAGGCAATAATGTGTATTACTAATACTGTATTACCTTTATATACTACTGTATAGTATTAGTAATACTCATTATTACCTTGTTCAAATGCTTATCAAGTTAACTCACTCTGTTTGCCGCAGACTCAATTATATTCTGGCTATAGGTTACATATCAACCCGTAATATACTGAATGGCTCGTGGTTTGGCCAGGAGTTAGCCGATTGTTTGGCTGAATCGGCTCATAGGGAACATCTCAACGATATAATGACTATAGATGTGGCCAAACGTGTCAGTGAAAAGATCGCCCAAATTAAAGACCAGTCAACCAAACAGGCAATTGAGACACTTATTAGAGGCAGTGTTAAAAAGGTGTACTTTAATCCAGGCCTTTATGATAATGATAGTTGATGAATTATCATTTTAAATTTCACAGCATTTCAATAATTATATTAATTTGAGTAATTAAAATACAAAACTATCTAGAAAATTTATATTAATACCTGATTACAAGTTTTGATACTCGAAATTAAAATTATATTACATGTTAATTAGACATCAAAAATAATTTTTATAATATTTTATAATTTAATTGTAAATTTTTAATAACTAGCACATTCAAGTTCTCATTACAGCATTGTTTGTGTTTTTAGACATTTGTTGTATGGTAAATTATACCCAAGAATTTATTTTAATAAAAGTTTATTTTTCAATTAATGTTTTACAATTAATTTCTATTAAAAATTAAAATGTTAAATGACTAATATTTTTGTAAAAACGTTTTATATAGAATATTTATATAGTGTTTAGCTATAGTAAAAACATAAAACTTACTAAATATTATCGGGTTAACAAATTATGATATGCATATTTCAATAATGTGCAATAAATAGTCTACAAATGCATCCATTAATTATGCACAGGCCATTCCAAAATAAAGAGAGGCTTTATTTATTTAAACGTGGTTATTTTTTGAACTTGGTAATATTTTATATATTACTCACAATAAATGTGAATAGTGTATGAACAATGTGCACAATTTTTATAGCGTTTGCCCGACATTTGGCATTTTGGATTGCTGTGATTTGCATTCATAACGTCTAACATTCAAGCAATTAAATTAAAAATAATACGAATAAAATGGATGATAAAACCAAAGCCCAAAGTATTGTTTTATTTAACAAATTTAAACACTTGTTGATTAATAATAAATTCTATGACGAGAAACAACTATCACAGTTATTGGTACAGTATACAAAGTTATTACACATACATAATTGACTATTTTAACTAATGTAATTAAATTATGATTATTAATTGAACGTATTTGTGATGACTATAACCAGGATTACTGTCGACGGGACACACAATTACCGGCACTAATAGCGGGCGTAGTCTTTCTCTCGAGGAATGGAGAGGAAGTGAACCGATTAAGAGAGCTAATGGTAGCGTCGGGTTTGGTTGTCGATAACAACGATAGTGGTCAGTGTGTGAGCGATGGATCACGGTTTAGTTTAACCTGGTTGAAAAAGCTCATCGCTTCCATGGTGCTGATGAACAAGGTTAAGCCCACTGTCACTAAAGCCACAGAACTAAAGCATACAAAAGACGTAGACGTGTATCCCATGACACGCAAACCCCGGGGCTATTGTGTGATCATTGATAACGAGTACTTTGATAATGAAAATCTGGAGACCAGGTTTGGCACTATAACCGATGTCAAGAACCTGACCGCTGTCTTCGACCAACTTTTCTTTGACGTCAAACTTTATAACAACAAAAGTGCGGATCAAATGAAAGCACTTTTGGCGGACATCGCGGCCGACAGCGCACTCGTAGGACACGACGCTCTGGTAGTTATAATGCTATCGCACGGCGCGGAAGAAGGTATTTACGGCACGGATGGGGTGACTGTTCCCATCAATACTATACTCGAGATGTTTAATAACAAGAATTGTCCACAACTTCTCGATAAGCCTAAGATGTTCTTCACTAACGCCTGTAGGGGTCGTAAGTGTGACAATAATTACATGTTTTTAAATAATTAATGGTTAATTAATTTAGACGAAGTTGACCATGGTACACGCAAGTATTTATGTGGTCCACAATTACGAAACATTTGGGGTGATATGTTTGTATACTATTCTTCTATAGAGGGTAAGTAATAATTATTATTATACCCGGGATTGTAATATTTAATTAAAAATACGATCTAGGTTATGTCTCATTCCGCAGTCCGTTTTCCGGCTCGTGGTTTGGTCAGCATTTGGCCAAATGTTTGGCCAAATTAGCCCATAGGGAACATCTCAACGATATAATGACTATACATGTGGCCAAACGTGTCGGCGATATGTTGACCGAAAATGATACCCAGTTGTGCAAACAGGCCATTGAGACAACTATCAAAGGCTGTGTTAAAAAAGTTTACTTTAATCCAGGTCTTTATTTAAATAATTAATAAATTAAAATTTTATATAACTGTGTGATAGAATTGTTTAAAATTTAAGTCTTTAAATAATTTAAACCAAAAAGTGTTTCATAATTGAAGGCATTAATAATAACTTGAATCAAAATTATACTTTAACTCAAAATTAAATTCATTACAAGTTATTTAAAAAATTTTGTAATTTACTTATAAATAAAATTTATTAATTATTATTTAATTTAAATATCAATAATTAACAAATTTAAGCTCTCAATTACAACATTTGTGTTTTGAGACTTTTTTTTATACACAAGAATTTATTTTTAAAAATAGTTTTCGATTTTTCTAAAACTTATTTTAAACACATAAATACAAAGATTCAGATATTTTGTAATATTAATTAATAATAAAATATTTCTAATATTAACAAGCCATTTCTTACGTAACACATTAACGTTATCATATAAATAGTAAACTGATTCATCTTAATAATAATTATTCTGCAATTAGGACCAAGTTTTGATATTTGAAATTAAAATTACATGTTAATTAGACATCAAAAATAATTTTTATGCTATTTTATAATTTAATAGTAAATTCAATGCACATTCATGTTCTCATTACAGCATTGTTTGTGCTTTGAGACATTTGCTATATGGTAAATTATACCCAAAAATTTATTTTAACAAAAGTTTATTTTTCAATTTATGTTTTACAAATAATTCCAAATAAAAATTAAAACGTTAAATGACTAAAACTTTGGTAAAAGCGTTTTATATAGAATATTTATATAATGTTTAGTACAACATAAAACTTACTAAATCTTATCGGGTTAACAAATGATGTAATGCATACATCAATATTGTGCAATAAATAGTTTACAAATGCATCCATTTATTATGCATTATTATTGATATACATGTGATTATGCATTTATAAAGTCTAACATTCAAGCAATTAAATTAAAAGTAATGCGAATAAAATGGATGATAAAACCGAAGCCCAAAGTAATGTCTTATTTGACAAATTTAAACACTTTTTAATTAATAATAAATTCTATGACGAGAAACAACTATCACAGTTATTGGTACAGTATAAAAAGTTATTACCCATACCTAATTGAATATTTTAACTAATGTAATTTAATTATGATTATTAATTGAACACATTTGTGATTACTATAACCAGGATTACTGTCGACCGGACACACAATTACCGACACTAATAGCGGACATCGCGTCGAGGAGTGGGGCGGAAGTGAACCGATTAAGAGAGTTAATGGTATCGTCGGGTTTAGTCAGCCGTATGACTGACGATCACAACGATAGTAGTCAGTGTGTGAACGATGGATCACTGTTTAGTTTGACCTGGTTAGAAGAGCTAATCGCTTCCATCCTGCTGGTAAATAAGGATGAGCTCACTGTCACTAAAGCCACAAAACTAAAGGATACAAAATACGGAGACGTGTATCCCATGGCACACAAACCCCGGGGCTATTGTGTGATCATTGATAACGAATATTTTGAAGATCAACATTTGGAGCCCAGGTTTGGCACTATAGCCGACGCCAAACGCTTGTCCTCTGTCTTCGACCAACTTTTCTTTGACGTCAAGATCTATACCAACAAAAAAGCGGAACAAATGAAAACACTTTTGGGGGACATCGCGGCCGACAGCGCACTCATAGGACACGACGCTCTGGCAGTTATAATGCTATCGCACGGCGCGGAAGAAGGTATTTACGGCACGGATGGGGTCACTGTTTCCATCAATACTATACTCGAGATGTTTAATAACAAGAATTGTCCACAACTTATCGATAAACCTAAAATGTTCTTTACTAACGCCTGTAGGGGCGGTAAGTGTGCTCATAATTACCTGTTTTAAATAATTAATGGTCAATTAATTTAGGCAAATTTGATCCTGGTGTACCAAAGAGTTAGGGTGGACCACAATTACGAAGCACTTGGAGTGATATGTTTGTATACTATTCTTCCATGGAGGGTAAGTAATAATTATTTTTATACCCGGGATTGTCATATTTAATTAGAAATACGATCTAGGTTATGTCTCAAAGCGCGATACTCTATCCGGCTCGTGGTTTGGTCAGCATTTGGCCAAATGTTTGGCAGAATTAGCCCATAGGGAACATCTCAACGATATAATGACTATACATGTGGCCAAACGTGTCGGCGATATGTCCGCCGAAACTGATACCCAGTCTAGGAAACAGGCCATTGAGGCAAATATCAGAGGCAGTGTTAAAAAAGTTTACTTTAATCCGGGTCTTTATTTAAATGAATAATAAATTAAAATGTTAGATAATTGTGTGATAAATGTGTCTAAAATTGTTAAAAATTTAAGTCTTTAAATAATTTAAACCAAAAAGTGTTTCATAATTGAAGGGATACCTAATAACTTGAATCAAAATTAAATTCATTACAAGTTATTTAAAAAATATTGTAATTTAATTATAAATACAATTTATTAATTATTATTTTATATAAATTCTAATAATTAACAAATTTAAGCTCTAAGTTACAACATTGTTAATGTTTTGAGACTTTTTTATTTATACACAAGAATTTATTTGAACAAATAGTTTTCGTTTTTCCTAACTTGTTTTAAACACATAAATTCAAAAAATGCAGATATTTTATCATATTTATTAATAATAAAATATTTCTAATCTTATCAAGCCATTTCTTGCGTAAGACATTAACGTTATCATATAAATAGTGAACTGATTCATCTCAATAATAATTATTATGCATTATTACATAGTTATTTCAAGTTATTATGCATTCTTAACTCAAACATTCAATAAACCAATTGAATGAGAAATAGTGTCAAGAAAATGGATGAAAATAGCAAAACAGCAAATTTTGACGTTTTATTTAATGAATTTAAAGAATTGCTAATTAATAATCAATTTTATGAAGAGAAACAACTATCACAACTATTGGTATGTTAAGTTATTACTCATAAATCACTTGTAATTATTAGTAACTTATAACCATAGTTAATAATTTGAAAAAATTATTGTGGTTGTTAATTAAATAGATTTAATTATAATGTATTTATAATGACTATAATCAGGGTAACTGTGAAGCAGACACACAATTAGCGACACTAATAGCGGACATCGAGTCGAGAAGTGGGGATGAATTGAGCCGATTATGTGGACTAATGATATCGTCGGGTTTGGTCAGCGATACGGTCGCCGACTCTGTGGACAGCGGGCAGTGTGTGAACGACGGGCCGAAGCGATATTTGAAAGCGTTTAAAGATC